ACCACAAGGCTGCAGAAGCAATTGCACTATGAGTGACAGTAGGTGGGCCACCAGACTAGTAGGCATCACAAGCTCAGTGGGAACAAATAGCTGCACCAGAATCTAGACTCAAGAAGATGATACCACTAGAGCTGTTTGGGGACACAGAACAGTTGTGTGCTAAACAGATAGCAATGACCATATGCTGAGTGCTGAAGTGATTTCTGTACTTTCCCTTCTCCATGTAACCTTAAATGAAACACCATCTGAAAAGAGTGTTTATTTTCCTTACAAACCAACTACATACCTCTTCTTCACGTGTTTCACAAAATCACATGCTCCTAATATTCACCGGAGCCAGTTGAAAAGTTTGGGAAATGCTTGCTTTCCACTCCAAAATTTCACAATGCGAAGCCCTTTGTGAACTCGCCTGCTGTCTCCAGCATCATCTGAGTCAGACTTGTTCTCTCCAAAGGAATGGTAAGTTCTTTCTGGCAGGACTGGCACCTTTCTCTCAAAAGAACAATATAATCTCAAGTGATTGTTCTTAATGCCCTGTTGTAACCCAACTGCAATACAGGTTCTTCTGACTCCCTGCAGGAACTCGCACCCACATATACAGAAGTCGGTCCTCCCTATATAAGCAGGTTTCACATCCTAGGAGTACTTTTATTTTCTATCCACATTTGGTTGAAAAATTCTGCATATAAGTGGACCCACCCAGTTAAAACCTATGTTTTCACTGCGCCTGGTGGCTCACACCTATAATCCCAGTGGTTTTGGAGGCTTAGGTGAGAGGGTAAGTTAAAGTCAGGAGTTCAAGACCAGCCAGGCAACACAGTGATACCTCCCTTGCCTCCCCTGCAAAAAATTTTAAGATTAGCTGGGCATTGTGGCATGCACCTGTAGTCCCAGCAACTTGGGAGGCTGAGACAGAAGGATCGCTTGAGTCCAGGAGTTTGAGGTTACATTGAGCTAGGATTGTGTTCCTACACTGCAGCCAGCAAGACAAAGAGAGATCCTGTCT